TGGTGAACTTTGTCAGCGACCATATGATTTAATTTAACAATATAAGTATATCCCGTATAAACCGGATGAGCGAAAGGCAAACCTGTGCGACCATTAAATAATTGTCGTGTCCCATTGGGCGAAATTCCGGCTTCCTGCATAATTTGTTTTATTATTTGGGGTGAGAGAGTATTAAAGGGCCGAACTAGAAATTTACTATTTAAGCGGTAAGCGGCCTCGGCTAAAATGGTTTCTAGTAATTTCCCGATATTCAGCCGACTCGGTATGCCTAACGGATTAATGAGAATATCAAAAGTTTTGCCTTCTTCGTCATAAGGCAAGTCAGCCGCAGGAACAATTTTGGCAATTACTCCTTTATAACCATAACGGTCAACTTGTTTGTCCCCGGCTTCAATTTTTCTTTCTTGAGCGACGTAAACCTCGACTACTTCTAATTCGCGACGATTTTTGGTTAATTTTTTGCGACGTACTTCGTAAACTTCTCCTTTTTCTCCCGTGGGCAAGTAAAGTGAAGAGTCGACGAACTTCCGGGAGGCTTCACCTAAAATACTCAAAAGCAAGGCTTCTTCTTCGCTTTCTTCTTGGGGTCGAGGTTGGGGAGTTCTCTTGCCAACCAGGATATCGTGGGCTTTTACTCGACTACCAACTTTAACAATGCCGTCTTGGTCTAAATGAGTAATTTGTTCGTGAACCTGTCTTTCCTGGTCCTCTTTTTTGGGGTCTTTAGGATCAAGATGCGGAAGCAGGTTAGTAAAAACCTCTTCTCCATGCTTAGTGTGGTAGCGAATAATAGTATACTTTTTCACAAAAAAAGAAGTCAAAATGTCCTCTTTGACTAGGCGGTCACTAATTACAATAGCGTCTTCAAAATTATAACCTTCCCAGCAACAATAAGCTACTCGTAAGTTCTGTCCCAACGCTAATTCACCATTCCGAATATAACTAGCATTAGCAATTATTTGTTCTTTTTCGACCAAGTCACCTTTTTTAACCAACGGCGTGGAAAAATTAAGCGTATTTTTATTAGAGGCTACTAATTGCGACAACTGGTAAGTTTTTTTCACCCGAGCACTCTCTTTAATAATAATTTTTTGACTATCAACGTAATCTACTGTGCCTTTTTTTTCGGCACGAACGGCTAGTGGTGAGCAAGCGGCCACGTTACTTTCTATGCCGCTGGCTACTCAGGGCTCTTGACTCCGAAGCAAGGGCACAGCTTGCCGTTGCATGTTGCTTGCCATTAACATGCGGGTAGCATCGTTGTGTTGAAAAAAGGGTATCG